AAATGTCTGTCAGTTTTTTTCGCCAAAAATTGCCAAAAAAGCCTGAGTAGATACATTAAGATGGTATGTGTGATAAAAACTAACATATGTAACAGTGTTATAACAGTTTTTCATTAAAATAATGGTTGTACTTGTAACTTATAATTAACTCTAGACATTAATCACAAGTTGAGACACGTTGAGATACCCTAAGATGAGCTTATCATCTTATTGAACTATTCATTTATAAAAATATCATTCATCTTAGCACCATTAACCTTAGTAACACAGTTTGCCAAATAATACTATTGACTATAGAACCTTAGTAATACAATTCACTTAGTAACACCATTCGTCTTTGTAAAATGCATGTAATACAACTAAGTAGGAAAATGAAAGCTATAAATATAAGTTGAGATGAGTTTAAAGCTGCATGTAGTCCTAAGGAAGTATAGTAACACTATCTGCTTATAGAATCACCATCCGCCTTTGTAAAACACATGCAACAGAATTAAATATATAAATGAAACTATAAAGTTAATGAGAACTAGAGATTAAAAGAGTAGATTTAATGTTTTACTTATAAAGAGAAAGCGTAATTGTGATAAACGTATCAGTAATGATAATTGTAAACATATCGTTACACAAATTAGATAAATCATTAATTTTAAGACCTTGATTGTTACTATAAAGTCGGTGACATGTTGAGACAAGTTGATCTAAGTCCCTCTCTAGTGGTTTGCTTGCAAACTATCTGTCAGCTCATCATACCAACTTGCCCTCTGTCGCCATTTTGTGAAACTATGACGTCACCACTCCCTAAGACAGCCGCGCCCTCTGGTGCCACTTCGTGAACGCAATAGTCTCTGGTGCCTATTACGTAACACTCATGTAACTCTACAGGTTTGGTCATCTACATTCAAACATCTTTTTGCAGAACAAGTTTTTGCCCAGAGTTGTAAGTTTAAAACTCTGGCTAGTACGAAGTAAAGATTAATTTTTTATTACGTCAAATGATCAAATGGGATGCAAAATTTTACTACAACTCGTTTTTATCTATAATAGAAAAGACAAGATCAACCCATCAGTCACTCTGTCGCGCGATAAAGCATTTCAGAAAGGAACAGCAAATATCGTTTGAAATATACATTGTGCAAATCATTTTCAGTTCCTCGGGGAAACTTACAAGCATCTATCAATAATGTGGTTTTAGGTCATATACCTACACATCTTGTTATAGGATATGTTGATAATGATGCATTTAATTAATCTTGGAATAAAAACCCATACAATTTCAAACATTATAGTATAAATTTATTTCGTGGGAAACAATGTGGATAGAAAACATATTCCTTCTCAACTTTACAACCAGATTTTGCTGCTGAACCGTATGCAAGAAGTTATGAAACATTATTTAGTGGAACAGCAAGACAGTTTCAAGATCAATAAATTGATACAGAATATGAAGAATACTATGAAGGATATACACTCTTTGCATTTATTTTGTCACCCGATCTATCTGCTGGAGATTCACACTTTAATTTGGTGAAGCAGGGAAATTTACGAATTGAAATATGATTTGGTAGTGCCTTACCCAACATTATATATGTTCTTGCGTATGCAGAATTCCAGACCATGTTAGCAATTGATCAGTCTAGAAACATCATAACTGATATCTAAGAAATTATGAACACTCTAGAAATTTATACAATGCTCCTACAATATTTGTATACTTGATAGAAGCTCGGAAGTGTGTTTGCCAGTGATCAACTACCTGACGTAAAAAAACAACTGTACATCTGAAGAACTTTTCTATATGTTATATTGCTTTTGTTTGCAAACTTTCGGCCCTCTTACTGGAGCTATTATAGGTTTAACAATATACAATGTGTAAATCTATATATTAATTAACCTAAGTTATGAGTCTTTAAAAACAACTGTACATCGTCAAACTGGATCAGAATCATAAACCTGGTAGCCACTGGGTCTGTATTTATTTTGTTTGACATGAGAAAGGAGAATATTTTATCCATTAGGACTGCCTCCACATAACCTCAACAAAGAAGGTTTATGAAGAAGAACTGTTGAACATGGGAAGGACAGTATTCGTCTATGTGTGGACATTAATGTATATATATTATGCTTATTATCATTGTTGACATGTGTTGAAGCGAAAACTATTATGTAAACTTCGATTCCACAAAGGTAATAATGATAAGTTTGTTCATGATTTTGTTGCAAAACGTTTTCATAGAAATACGTCCTTAATAGGTATGTCTTTATATGTAGATCAGTTTGCAAAATCTTTATTGTGAGAAAATAATAAAGTGTTAAAAACGTGTCGAGAACTATTATGTTTAAATTTTTTTATTGTTATGCTAAACTAATAAAAAATACAAATAATAGTTTAACTTTTTAGGACATACAATTAAACCTAGACATTGATGATATAACCACACGTTGAGACACCCTAAGATGAGTTCATCATCCTATTGAAATATCCGCCTATAGAAACACTATCCTTAGTAACACAATCAACCTACTAATACCATCCGCCTATAAGGTATTAGTTACAGGGTCTGCCTATATAACCTTGGTAACATAGAACTTTAGTAGCATTATCCACCTAAAGAACCTTGGTGTCAGCATCTGCCTAGTGACAGTATCTGCCTCTGGTGAATAACACTAACTATGATGTCACCCCTATTAGCGCACCCTTAGAAACACGCCCTCTGCTGAGTAACTCTGGAACTATGACATCATCACCCTCCCCTATCAACACACCCTTTTGGTGAGTAACACTCTAGCTTATGATGTTACCCATAAGAAGACAGCCGCGCCTTCTGGTGCTACTTCGTGGAAGTATGGCGTTATCCCTAGCAACGCACTATCTAGTGCCACTTTGTGGAACTATGATTTCACCCATCCTCTGAGACAGCAGAACTCTCTGGTGCCATTTCGTGAAATTATGACGTAATCATTTCTGGTGCGTTGCCATATGACGTCATCGCCTCTACCCTCTACCCGAGGCAGCATTCTTTGTCTATTACCTAACGATTATATAACCCCCAGGTATCGACATAATTTGCATATTACTTAATAGTATGTAACTCTCAGACGACATCCTTTGAACTCCATTCACCTCGCGATTCCCCACACACACGCACTGAGGCAGCATTCTTTGAACGCCAGGGTATCCCGATAACTATTCATCTCAATGGAAAGTACGCGTAGGGACACGAATGCTCTATCAAAAAAAGAGGAACAGAATTCTCTTTATCCATACAATATAATGAAGTGTACGTCTCATACGTATTTATTGTTGTATAAAAGCTTATTTTCATACTGTTGATGCATTTTGCCTCCATCTTTTCATGACTAATGTTAATCAATCTGTATTACTAGATCTTCATGGTCATAGATTTTGAAATGGATGAAAATTTATATGACGTAATTGGAAAAACTTTTGCGAGTACAGAAATTCCCCTTTTGTATTGTTAGTTTGTTTTTTTGTTAAACGCAAAGTTACACAATGGGCTAACTATGCTATCAAAACCTGGTTTTTAGTGTTAAAGTCTTCAGACATACTGCTGAGCCACTGAAGGGGGCTTCCTTTCGGAAATGTTTAATTTTGATAATTTGAGAGGGAGAAATAAATGTTTTACATTAATAATCTGCATGAAATACGAGAAATCAAAGTCGGTGCTAAAATGTTTCCTCTAGTTTATTAAAATCTGATCTGCTTTATATGTTCTAACAGCAAAAGAAGAGTAGTATTTGCTAAGCTTTTAGAGAAAAATTGGAGTTGGAAATTGGAAATCAGAGACAATTAGGGTTCAGATATAGCTAACGCTATACCTGTACCCTATGATCAGAAGAAGGACAGCCAGTCAGAATTACCGACCGCCACAAGGGCTATGTTTGGATCTTTGAACCGAACAATGGGGCTGATTGTCATTTCTATAACGCACCCAATGCTGAAAAGGCGGAACGTATCCAACTTTGTTAATTATATCTTACTGGCTTCACCTGGGAGATAAAAAAAGGCTTTACAGCACCTTTTAGTGATTTCCATTGTTATAGATATTAGAGATTGTTTTAATATAGAGATTTATGTAAATTCGAGTTCTGTCTACAGCGCTCTAATGACACACTACTTACCAATGTTCGCATTCCTAACTAAAATGAAATAACACTGCCAAGCAATAAAAATTTTAATTGCATTAGTGTAATTATAGAACTAAGGACAGAAATTTACAGTACTCTATTGCTACTCCATTTTAGCCGGAAATCAAAAATTCCTTTTTTTTTATAAGTTAGAACATAACAATTCGCTTTTTACTTTTTTGACGTATTTTACAAGATACTAAAACAAATACAGAACCGAATGATATAAACGTCAAACTGTCCCCCAAAAATGTTGTTACAAGAAAATTATGCAGCTATCGAAGCAAAATAAGGATTTCTGTACCTCAAATATATTCCATTAAATTAGAAAATGTTGTAAATAGTATACATATAACTAATTACTCAGTGTATTTTGGAAAGGGTGATAAATACAATGTTTTAATAATATTTTTACATTAAATGAAGTACTTTTTAAGTTTCTTTGTAGTTAAGCACAAAGCTACACAATGAACTATCTGTGTTCTGCTCACCATGGGTATCGAAACCCGGTTTCTAGTGTTGTAAGTCCGCAGACATACCGATGTACCAATGGGGGTGGGGCGGCAGTACTATTTGAACTCACAAGCTATGTTGCATGTTTGGTTTTTAGTTTATTTTTTATTGCATATAATATTATTCGTTTGAAACATTTTCCTATATAAATTGTTGATGTGAAAACAAAAGACCATAGTACTCATGGTGTTAAACGTGTTTTTGCTTGAACTGTAAAACAACAATCTGGCCAGTGACCATTTTTCATTATAAATAAGCCTTATAAAAAAAATTTAATACAAAATATTTGATATCATAGCCAAAAAAGATGAAAAAGAATTTTGAATACAAAATAGCATCACCTTTTGGTGTATTTGATGCTGTAATTCCATATACGTCCTGAGGCTTTTGTAGTCTTTGTTTTTCAGAAAGTCCCCTTTTTCCTTTATAAAAGAAATTTATATGTGTATGATTAGGTATCGTTCACAATAGAACTTAAAACTATATATATATTATATAAATTTTGATTTCAGTAGTATCAGTGTTTATTAGCAACTAAATAAAATAACTTCTAATTTTATCTATGTTTATGAATAATAAATCTAGTTTCAATATTTTATCTTTCCTGTTCGAAATAATCTGATGAAAGCTTTTCTACTTTATAAAACTAGAGACCACACCAAACTTTAATTTATATTAACTTTTATAAGATACATTTTAAATAGATTTTCAATTTTTTACTACGTTTTGATATGTAGCAATAGAAAAGAGAAAATAAATATCACTTTACGGCAGACAAGGCTTGATTCAATGGTTATTTGAATTATTATTCGCTCTAAGAGAAGTACAAAGACAACAAAAAATCATAGATTAAAATGAAAAACATTTTAAAAGTTCAACTTTTTCGATTAAATTTGAGCAAAATAAAATCATTTGGTTGTAGCCATGTAGTCACCGAGTCGTCACATGGTTTTATTTTTATTCAAGGGAGCTTAGAACATACTGGAACTTGGAAACAATAAGGGTAGCTATAGATTCGTGAAAGATTTGTGTAATGAGTTATAAAGAATTACGTTTTCTTTTAACTCGATACTCAACGTTTTGAAACATAGAGTTGTTAAAGGTAATGGTTATTAAAACGTAAGATAGTAGATTAATGTCCAGGGATTAAACTGGTCTACCTTATTATAGTGAAAATAATGAACGCTTGATAACAGTTAATATCTAAAGGATAGTAGTGTATTATCTGACAGCTCGTATAAAGATAAGCTACTTTAATAGCTGATCTATAGAAATATTTCATGTATGTTAGTTCAATCACGTCAAAAACCTTTGGTACGTCTACTTACTATATTGATCACTGAATTACAAGTGATATATTCCCTTTAATTCATTATTATATTGTTTTGCAAACATAAATTTAACTGATAAAATATGGTATATGTATTACATAGTTGTGTTAATGTGTGAGAGGTTGATCTCTATAAACAAGAATGACGCAGTTATGTGCCGTGGCGCCACGGGAGACATCTTTAGCGAATAAATATTTGATTTACAGTACATTACCTGACAATTCGACGGTGCAATTCTTCCAGTGAAAGCTTATAGCTGATATACAGTGTTACAGACCTTTTCAACATAGAACATTAGTATAGCAAAGTAGTAAGGAGATGCAGGGCAAAGCAGTGACAATTATTTATCACATAGGAAACAGCATCAGCAAGGGAAAATAAACATATTCGCATGAGGGTGTAAAACTACCTCACAAACAACATCTCGAACGCTACATCCTTAACAGAAAGCGATTACTAACAAGGTGTATATACTCCAATCAAGTGGGCACAAAATAATTCATAAAGATCTTGCACCTGTTACCCATAATAACAAACTGAAAATATTTTGCACACAACAGATGGAAGTTTGTTAAAACTTTAGATAAGATCTGGATCTACTTGAATGACTATAACAAGAAATGAAAGATTTGATATGGATAATGTGGTGATAAGGACTTACCTTTAAACTTAAAATTCTGGTTTAAAGCAACTTTCACAGTTTAGACATCTATTGAGAAATAGCTGGAGTACATGTCCCCTGGACGAAGTTATGTAAATTCATGATTGATGAAAAATTATCTTAGGAGATGAAAAGCTGCTTCTCTTATATGAAAATTGTAAAAAAAAAAAAAAAAAAAAAAACCCCCATAAAAATTGCACAACGCAAAATACAAAACTGAAAATTTGTATGTATCCATCTCCCCATGGGTCTACTGAACCTCCACACCAGTTTTGGTGGAGATCCATCTACACCCTGCGAAGTAGTTATATGAACATTCAGCAGACAACAGACAGTACTATTATATTTAAATAGGTTAATTTTTCAAATTTAAAGATTGAATCCAATTCTCTCAAAGAACTACACGTTATTTATGAATTATTCTGCCCAACGTGTGAGGACGCTTACGTCGATTTAACGTCAGAATTCTGGAACGTTGTTCAAAAGAACACTTTAATCCTATTTCCAAGTACAGCTCAAGCATTGTTCAACATGCATCAGGTGAATGTAATGTGCTTCCTTCTCCCAAGATGTTCAAAGTAATAGGTAAAGCCGAAAATCATAGTATGGTTGAAGGACATGCTTCTGATTCTTCAAAATAAGTTGAGATTAAACAGTCAGTAAACTGCTGTTGAACTTTTACTTACAATTTAGGTATTACATTTTATTTAAACTTTCACACTGTATTGTATAACTAAGATAAAAAATTTCCATCTTGGAATATAAAGAAAGTTATTTTGTTCGACTTTCAAGTTGCCGCAGACTACTCATACAATGAGGAATTTAAACATCGCAATGTGCTTAACGAAGAAAAGGTGGCCTGTAATTACTAATTAGCAGACTACTCATACAATGAGGAATTTAAACAACGCAAAGTGCTCAACAAAGAAAAGGTGACCTATAATTGCTAATTAAATGAGGCAAATTCCTGCATTTATTGACTATATTTCGAAGACAGTGTGGAATCACTGGGATGAAACATTACACGTCCAAGTTCACATTGGCGGTTCTACGAACCATGAACAATGAAACCAGTATCCATGCTATTCATTTCTTCAAAATACTTGTGACGTCACCTAAATGGTTTGCCTAAATGTGGTTTTGAAGAGAGTCGATGTATATGTACAGTAGGGTGGTTATTGAAAGTATGTGGTCCAAGGTTGACATCGCCGTTCTTCATGGCTATTACAATTGAAATTGCGTTATTTCATTGAAGTTATTATCACGGAAAACACTAAGAAACTTGTGAAGAAGTTTGGGTAGTTTTATTTAATTCCATAATTAGCTTGTTTCCATGAGAATCTCTGGCCGTCTTTTAATGTTACACTAAGCATTCTTTTCAATAACATTAGGACTTCTAGAACTCCCGCGAAAATGCGATCCGTACTTTGGAGCCGGGGGTACGTTAAAATAACGACGGTAAAATCCCGCTATTCAGTCAGATAAGAGAGCCGAAAGTTGACGGTGGATTTTGTCTTCTCTCTATAGTATATCTATTAAAAATTAAAAACACCTATGCGCAGACAGCTCTTGTGTAACTTTGCACAAAAATTACAAACAAACCTCCTATATTGGGTGTCATTACGATCATGTATCATATGTAATGTGCACCAGTAAAACCATTCGCGTCATTTCAATAACGTAATTCTGTTCCAATGGCTCGTTAAGATAGATACTACAGGCCATAATGGGAACAACTTCTGTGTTTAAGGGTTAAGGAAATCGAAATCAAAAGTTTTTGTCAGTTGATTTGCGGGAATATTAGCGTTCTAAGGTCGTAAACTTACCGTGGCCTACCGGGGAACGGTAGCAGTGTATTATTATCACCCTAGCTTATCGAAACAATTAGGAAATAGCTGAATTGCTACTTCAAGATTCTTGCACCATAACATTTGATCATAAAGATAAGAAAGAAATCCGAATAAAATTTAATATAATTACTTGAATAATTTGTTCAAAAGTATTTTAAACTTTACGGCAAACATTTTAAAACTATATTTTCAAATAAAATGTATTAGAAGCCGTCCCATATATAAAGAAGTCTTTACATCTACCTCTCTCTATTCGAATATTCTACAAATGAAAAAGAGAAAATTGAACAGAAATCGCATTCATGTTATGATAGCTTTATTACTGAATACCTTAAACTTACATAGGTTGTTCTATTTCTTAAGGCCCGGCATCGCCAGGTGGTTAGGGCGCTCGACTCGTAATCTGTGGGTCACGGGTTGGAATCCCCGTCACACTAAACATGCTCGCCCTTTCAGCCGTGTGGGCGTTATAATGTGACGGTCAATCCCACTATTCGTTGGTAAAAGAGTAGCCCAAGAGTTGGCGGTGATGACTATCTGCCTTCCCTCTAATCTTACACTGCTAAATTAGGGACGGCTAGCGCAGATAGCCCTCTTGTAGCTTTGCGCGAAATCCATAACAAACAAACTGTTTATTAAATATCAGTATTTTATTGGGAGAGTAACAAAGGTAGGATACATATTAAAAACTAAGGGTAAAATGACACATGTAACGTTTCAGACAGAAAAGAAAGAAAAATGGCAGTTGTGTTTCAGTTTTAAAGCCATACTTTGTAACTCGGATCCACTGTTTTAACATAACGTTTGAAAGTACTTCTACAAATTTTGTCCAGAATAATCAGTTACTTTAGCAGTGGGTTCATAGTTATGACAATTATAGATTTATTTGAAAATATTCATATACTTACATAAAAAGTGGAGAAGAAGAACAAAAAGAATATAAAGCTCTGTATATTCCCAAGCCTACTGTTAAGGTACAGTGTAAACGTAATTTTACAGTCAGTATAAATAATCTTTTCTTTTGATGTCATAGTCTACTATTTGTTTTCTGCTTTGAAAGCAGGTGACTGATGTCATTATGTTTTATTTTCCGCTCGCTCTGGTGATCAGAACAGCTTCTATTGTTAAACGCTGCTTTGTCGGCTTCTATTGAAGATTGTGTATTCTTTTATTAAAGAGTAGTTATACTTTCAAAGAAAACTCCAGATTTAAACTTTGCCTAATGGCAAAATACTTAGAATCTTTAACAAAACTTTTTAAAGCCAGCGAAGCGAACGCAACATAATAATACATTGTAATACCTCAAGGAGAAAACGTTTGATTGAAGAGGAACATGGAAGGATTAGTCTTCAAAGTGAACACGTTTGATTGGTTCAGTTTCTCTGTTATGATCAGAAGTTACAAAAAGCGTGTAAGGCATATTTTAGAAGCACTCCAAAGAATATTCATCTCGTTGTCATTATGTTGGCAAGGGTAATATAAAATTGATAAATGTTGATTGAGGGAATATATCCTTGGTTACATTTAGTAGCAGACGACACATTAGTAATTTTAATCATAAGAAATGACATATAAAAATT